CCCAGCGGTTCCATACGTATGAACTTCTTGAGCCGTACCAACCCGTTGACCATCAACTCGGATACCGTTCCCTCTAATCACCAAAACTCGGCCAACGATTCAAAAGGTGTCGAAATAAAACACGAGACGACATAACCGGCCGATTGTCGGTGTTATATACCTGTCCGATCACCTCCCGTATCCCTCGAGAGTGCTATTTATAAGACATTAGAAAAAACATTTCAAAACTTTTTGTGTCTTTTTTTATAACAATTTTCGTGATTTGATGTGAAGTTTATGTCGCAATTCATATACCATTGAACATAATGAGTGATAATTAATGAAACAAAATCTCCATGCTAATATTTTTGTTTGTTTTTCTGACAATGATCTAGCAACTTTGTGTTGACTAAATTTTATTTATTTGATTTAATTTTAACTAGATTTTGTAAAGTTGTATTGATTTAATTGTTTTTAATATAATTTATTTAAATATATAAATGATTTGTAATTGTATAAATTAGTTGTATTTTATATTACCAGTGAAATTATAATTTTAATGTATTTTTAGTTTAATTTAGTGCTAAATCTATGAATGATTTTTGCAATAAATATGATTAAATTTTAATAAATTAATGCTGATGATTTATTTGTAAACTAATAAACTAATTTAAAAGTAGTATCATTCAATTATATTTGAGATAATATTAATAACAATTGTCAATAATACAATAATATTTTATTTGTATACAGCTTTTTATTTGTCTAGGCTCATTTTACTAGTACACATAATGTCAATATATATTATATTATAATTGCATTTTATCGATATTTACTTTTAGTTATTTATTGTCTCACCGACCTTAATTATTTATACAGAAATAACAGGATTGTAAGTTATTAAGTGTTTTAAGAGTATAACATTTGTGTTGAATGTATTGTAAACTGTAGAAAAGAATTTATACGTATTAATATTATTAAAATATTTAAATTGTAAAATGAAAATATTATTTAAAACTATGTATACTATGGTGTCGTATATGATATGTTTTACGGGATGTATGTATCAAACGTATAAAATAAGTGAACTATACTTCGCATACGAGACAACTACTAACTCCCGGTTCCTATTACCTCGCGATTCATCAACTCATACTGTATTTACAATATGTTTTCCAAAGCTTGACCAAATAGAACCTGATAAATTAAACATTTTAAAAAACAAATCAAGTAATTTTGATATAAATAGTAATTTTAAATACAATTCAGGTCTCAAAAATTGAAATGATTGTGAAAGTGCTGCCGTTTATTTCAAAAATAGGCATTAATAATAAGTACTGAATTGTGTTGAAATGATTATAATTTGAAGTTTGTTTTGTCACTCACATAGTTTACTTTCAATTTAGATTCGGATAAAACACCAAGGTTATTTGACGAATTCAACAAATTTCCGATTGGCGCTCAATTTGACTCATTCATACCACCGGAGAAATTCTTTAAAAGTTACCTTATTGGTGATAGAGGTAGTACACTTTGGTTAACAGACAAATTTTATCAGGATTCAATCAGTAATTTCTATCGGTGTATAACGATAAATCCACATGGCCATAATTTCAGCAACGAAAATCTATATTCACTACCAATATTCATTTCCATTGGCGGTATCAAACATAAGCGTGCTCATGCACCTCAAAAAACAATCGTTTATGCTCATTCAAAATATCGTCGTGTTACCAGCATGCAATTGAACTTGTTAAATTATAAATCATTCGAAGCCAGAAAAAATGATCATTTTTTTATTGGATATAAGCAATCCATCACAAAATACAACCTTGGACAAACACTGAATGCTAAGCATTGCATTGATGATGGCATGGATGCGATTGAATGCCGGGAACGATGTAGAGAGACGCTACACGCTGCGAAAAATAATTTGACCTACTTGAGCCATATGTTATTTGATAAAGATAATAAAAGATTTTCGAAATTCGATCAAGATAACCTCCGTTTTGCCCAAGATCAAAATGTCGAACATTTCAGCGAATGTAACCCGAAATGCATAAACCGAATCGACTGTATTCAATATCATTACACGATGTACCAGGATTATGTTCAAAAGAATTTAGGCGATAATTATATAATTTATATTGTATTTCCATTCGAGTCTACAGTCGAATACGAAATAACACTCAAAATGTCTTTCGAGGAGTACTTGAGTCTAGCGGCAAGTGTTATAAGTCTATGGTTTGGGTTCTCTATCATTATGTTCACCAAAAGTTTAAAAGAAATACTCATAAAATTTGAATTTAAGAAATATTTTCAACAAATGGTGGAATCAATTATCATTAAATGCAATAATTACAATAATTACAATAATTTCAATTTCAATTGTAATTTCGTATTAAAAGTGCGAGATTATATTCGCAATAGGAATCGTATTATTCCAATAAATACAGCCAATTATACTTTTAGAAACAGTTAACAAGCTACAATGAATGTATAATTGCAAGTGTATTATCAGTACAGTAGTTGAGATGTGTATTTCCAGAAATGGCGGTGCGATTGACTATTCATTTAATGTTTTTTGAAAAATACTATTCGTTATAAATAAAATTCACTAAAACTTTTATAATTAAAACAAGTTTTTAAGTTTTTATGAATACTTTTATGAGTGCAAATTTCCATGCAATATACTTTATTTGAATTCTTCGCGATATGTATATCAAGGGCTCAACACTTATACACACAATAAATGAATATATTTTATATACAATTAAATTATATATTGTTTTAGTTTTTGCTATTCAATCGACATAATAGGCAGCTATTAATGACCTGTGATGACCTGGGGTCGGTGATGGACAGTATAGTGTCGGTGATGCCTACCTTTTTCAAGCTCTGGCGACCGATACTGACGTTTATTACGTGTTTATTGGCTTTCCTGATATCGTGGTGATGACATTAACTGTAAGTTATTTGTTTGAAAAGTTTTTTAAACTTTTGTTTGTGTTTTTGGTGTTATGTTTTGAATGGCTTTGGGCACTGAAAATCTAGTCTCGATGCTGGCCAGGGATGAGAGCACCCGTAGTTGGCTACTGCCGATACTGACCTTCCAGTGGAACCTGATTATGCCGATCGCCACAATGGTTTGCATACATATACATGCATACTGTACGTATCCCAACAATATACTTAACATACCGCTCCCTTCAGATACTGTCGATCGCGTTCACCCGTTCCCATAGCGCCGGTGGCCTGACGTGGACCCAAGCGGTCACTTTCTACCCGTATTGGCCCGAATGGACCAAATCCCTGTCCACTGTGTTTCAGATCACACCACTGTTTCTGGTATTCTTCGTGGGATCCGTTCAACTCGTCATTTATTTATATCCCAAACAGTCTTCAGGACTCTTCCACGAGAGGATACAAGTAATGAATGAAATACTATTGTCTTTAAGGGTGTGGATCTACTGGATATATATACGTATGATATGATTGTCCCCATAATGTAGTGATACTATACTTTTGGGTCATTTATACATAGCTGGCAATTAATTAATTTTATTTTTTTTAATAACTTTTTGTTATATTGATTATTATTAGTGTTTATTTGAGGGGACTTTCATTCAGTATATACACCCATATTAATTACTAGCAATTAAACAGTGTGTGTGTATATATGGTATATACACCCACTATGTGTTAATCAATTGTAGTTTAAATGTTTGAAAACTTTTTAAAAAGTTTTTTGAACTAAAAATTAATTACGAATTTATAACCGATTTTTAGGCCTTATTTTGTCCGACACTAACGTCGTTCATATCGGATACCGGGGCTGAGGGTTCACTAAACACCGGCTATGTGACCGATGACCCGCCCCCTAAGTACGAGCCCCCGCCCTCCTACTCGACGGCCACCGCCCGCCAGTTGGTCCACCAGATTAGGGGTCGACTCACTCCCAGCGGTTCCATACGTATGAACTTCTTG